GCAAGGAAAAGAGAAAAATAATTTTACACTATGATATAGGATGCACATCTTAAAAGGATGCACATATTAACAATTTAACAGAGGACGATTAAGTTCAATCCAATGGTTTATAATTTGACAAACGGACAGAAGTCCCATCAAGGAAAAAAAACTGAGCTTCCTTATTTAGCTGAAAATGCAATTGATTGAGCTGCACAAGTTGATCATAATAAGATATGATCATCCCTCCCACCCTATATCAATCAGACCTCAAAATTTGTGACTTTATTTTTGTATGATCAAAACACATGAAGATGAAAAGCAATCACAAAGTAAAATGGAAAACATTGGTGCTTCAAGCTTCAGCTGTTTAGTTCCGTTTTTGCTTTCAGCTTTCATCTTTCATGTTTTAGAAAACAACACAATGAAAAGTTTGAAAAAAACACCCAAAGATCACAAACTGCTAATTAAGCTGAGCTAGTTCCAATTGATGGCAAAAATTTCGGAAGAATAAAAACAAAATCGAAGAGAAAAGAAGATGATGACAGAGCATTTAAACATTCTTTTACCCAGCTAAAAAACAACAAAACCCCAAAAGAATATCAGCATGGCACTCATTAATTCCCAGAATTAACAACCTCCAAACAATAGATGATGATAAAGAACAACAATTATGATCTAGATATGAAAAACCCGCTGTCAAGAACTATAGATCTATATAACCAAGCAGAAAAAATTGAAGAAAGACATGTAGAGAGAAAGAGAGAGAGACCTCGTTGTTGTCACAGTGCCATCGGGTAGGTTGTAATTGCCATCGGGTTCGACTGTCCAACCAGCTTCGGAGCAGAGAGCTTTCAAGACCTCGTTGTTGTCACACTGCTTGGGTAGGTTGTAATTGCCCTGAGCTCTCAATCCAGAGTATATCTTGGAGGCTAGGGCTCTCCTTTTCCTCCGAATCTGTGAATAAAATTATGTATATAATACACACAAATGCATATCTATACATACAGTGGCTCTCATCTCCGAATCTGTGAATCTCCCATCTTCGGAAGAGAGAAGATGACAATTAGGATAGCGGAGAGAGGGAAGAGACTAATGGAGAGAGAGAGAGAGAATGGGGGTCTGATTTCAAAATTTGAAATCAGAGAAAAAGAGATGAGAGTGTGAAAGAGAGAGAGAGAGGGCGTGGGTTGAAAATAGAGGGTGTAAGATTGTGAACCCTTGGATTAAGTTCAATCCAATGGTTTATAATTTGACAAAGGGACAGAAGTCCCATCAAGGAAAAAAAACTGAGCTGCCTTATTATATAGATTGATATATTAATATATATTATGATATTATTAATTTAAAATTATGAATCTCACTTATTATATAAATTATAAAATTTAAAACTTCTAAAATTATGATATATTATCTATTAATATACTAATTGATATACCAATTAATATGTGTGGTTTATTCGTCAGGCCATATTGTTCTTCCTATCTATTGACCCTTGGAGTGTAAAAATAATCCGCGGTTCGAAGCCTTTTAGCGGCCCGGGGTGGGCCCTGCCCGTTTAGGCCTGAGCCGAGCTCGAGACCCTAGGTCAGGGCCTGGGCCATCATTTTGAAGCCTGGCTTGGCCCATCGGCCCGTTTAAAGTCCACTCAAGGCCCGGCTCACCCGAGGTCTAGTGTCGTCTATTTTTCTAGCCTGTGAACTGGCCCGACCTAAATTTTGACGGGAACCCACGAGGCCCAGCATAGGTTAGCCCGGGCCAAATTTACATCCGTAATTGGCCCGTGTTTGTTATCTCTCTTGAGCAATCAAATTGTCATTCCTATCTACTGGTCCATTTCTTCAGCCATTCTCTCTCTCGCTCTCTCTCTCAACCCTCTTTATCTCTATTCCATATTTATATACGATATAAGTTTGTTTGTTTGTTTTTTTTTATTTTTTTTTATTTTTATGGATAATGAAATTTTTATTTAGTAAAGATTTTTTTCACATTTAAAAAGATTACATTTATTCCTCTAACAAATTAAAATGATAAATTTATCTCTTAACCTTTATACATGTAAAATAATAAAATAATACAGATATTTTATTCATGTCATTCAAGAGAAATAACAATAATTTTCTTTGATTTAACTCACAACTGAATTTTTTTTAATATTTTAAATATATATTTTTTATTTTTTAGATATACCTAATCTAAATATACTTAAGAAATATAATATTTTGTGATTTTTTTTTTTAAATTCACCAAATACAAAAAATATAAAATATAAAAATTCAATACATTATCTTATTTTGTTGTATTCAAAGATTTTTTTTAAATTTTTTGTACAAATTTTATACTTTTTAAATATTTCTAGATTAAATTGATCCAATCTAGATATAATGGTGGAAATAGAAATGAAAAATTATATTCACATATAAAATTTTATACAAAACATATTATAAAAATATTGTGATAGTAATATTGTTGTAAATATAAATCATGTTTATAGGTGTTTTGTTTTAAAGTGAAAGGTTACCATTAAGTTATATCATTGTGTTTAAAAATTCTATATAAAATTTATGTTTGTATATCATCACTTAATAAGAATATGTTCAGGTATAATTTAATAATAAAAAGTTATAAAATGTAATCATGATGATAGAAAGAAAAAATAGTAAGAAAAATGACAAGATGGCCATTTACAAACTTTTAGGTCATGACATTAGCAATCTAGGAACAATTTGTAATGAGATTACAAATCTCAAAAAGGAAATGTAATTTTCAAATGAGAGGGGAGAATTTGTATTAAATAGAAATCTCAAGAGGTGTCAGTGTAATTTATTTATTTTATTTATTTATTTATTTATTTTAATCGACTACTGGCCGAAGCCACCCTTGTTGCCATTGTAGTCTTCCTCATCAGCTTCGCCACTGGCCTCGGCGGCGAAGATCATCACCACAACCAGCAGCAGCAGATGTAGATCTCTAGGTCCCGACACCCCCACTAGGCAAGACTAGGAGATCGATCCCTTCACATCATCAAGATTGTCTTCGCTCACGGCACTTCAACACCACTCATCGCGGTGTCTACTATGGCCAAGACTTCGCAAGTCTCTTTTTCTCTCTTGTGAAGTGACTCTCAGGTGCCCATTTTGTTTGAAGGAGGCTTTTTCTTTTTGAATTAGTGAATACCCATTTTTGTGTTTCTCATTGTTCTTTCGAATTGACTGGTGATTACTATATTAGTCTATGTGGCAATCGATTTGGGTTTCAATGTGTACCGCATCGTTATACTTTAGTCGACATATATGTCTTTGTGTGCATTCTGTTCATGATTTAGAATGGGATATTGCTGAAATGTTTGATAGAGTTGAGAAATTTTATAATGTTTGATAGGAAGGGGGTGCAGGATTAGAGTGGTAGAAGATGAAGATGTAGAAGAAAGGGAAGAGGGTAGAGTTGATGAGAGACACAACTATCTATTCAAACTTTTTCTTTTTCTTTTTCTCATGCCGTGTTTGAACAGATTAGTTCAAAAAAATTAAAACAAATTTTGACAAATAATGGGTTTGTGGAAAGGGACAGAGAAAGTATTCAAATAATTTTGATAGATAACGGGTTTGTGGAGAGAGAAATAAAGACAGAGTTGGGTTTTGAACAGATAAAAAAATGATTTTGACAAATTGGACCCCCCTCTCTCTCTCTCTGTTTGCATGTATTAGAATTTGAATAAATAGAATAAAAAATTGAACAAATAAGAAAAACAAAGCTTAGTGAATTCCAACAGATATAGGAAAATAAGCTTTGTGAATTTCAACAGATAGTGAAAAAGTAGGGTTGGTGAATGGCAACAAATAAATATAAATTTGAACATATAGGTTTAAAAATTGAACAGATAATTTTTTTTTTGAACAGATAGGTTAAAATAAAAATTTCAACAGATAGATGAAAATGTCCTTTTGATCAACAAATATCCTTTTGACCAACAAATTTTTAACTAATATCCTTATGGCCCCATTATTTTCATCCTTGTCCTTGATGACTCATAGGGAGTGAAAATATGAATTTATCACCATTTTTTTTTTATAATTTTATTTTTAAAAAGAAATAAAAATATTAATCGAAATACCCCCAAAGTTAAAAGTTAATTAAAGAAGGCAATAAAAAAACTAAACAAATGTTTGAATATAAATAATGAAGATGATCTGTATACAACTAGATGGAAGTAATATTTCATTCCACATTAGACCAAGGAATAACATTTATAACCACATTCCATACTATATATGAGTTTTATGTATCAAGTTAGATCCTACTTGATGTCATCAATTAATATTAGAGTAAATATGCACCATATTCCAATTGAGATGTTAAATGTTTTCTTCGAAAATACCTTATGCATTTTTGGTTGTTTGGTTAAGTGAAGTTATAGTCTCCAAAATGACTTAATATTAAAAATTTTGTAAATTAATTTTAAGGTTCACTTGCATTGCAGTTCGGCCCTTTCAACACATTGATTTTTCCAAAGGTGGAAGGGCGACTCTTCATTGGCTTTGTTTCTAGTACCCAATACATACACTAGAAGATTTTTGTTACAAATATCAACCAAACCTGGAAAATAAATAATTTTATTGGATATAAAATCAATTTTTTATGACAAATATTTTATGATAACACAAACGGAGATGATGCCCTAATCATATGATCAGCACATGATCGATTCATTTCCAGCAAACATAACACAAACACTGCCTTCAAATCATGACGCCATATTATTACTGTACTGACTTCAAATTTTCAAAGAGTTTCTTCTCTCTAGTTCTATGACATGACAAGAAACTTTTGACCAAAAAAAATAATCCAAGGCATGAAGATATTTGCCTTTTGGATTGTTCCTTCAACCAAGATTATTTACCATATACAGCAAATGAAACCAAAATAAAAAACAGAATAAAATACAAACAATCAATTCATTTGGCTGCAGCTTAGTTCCCTCCGTATATATACGTATATATTTTCTTTCCAACTAAGCCGTATCCCTATACATTTTCTTTTGGGAAGTTGGAACTACCAACATTCGTTGTGTATATGGAAATCGGAAAACTGAGCACTTACCGATGAGGTTTCACTACAAATGCTCTTGTGCATTTGCACAGAAGATAGCCTCTAGCCAAGAAATGCTTACTGGGGCGCATTAGCTCAACGGTTTCAATTGCACCACGTAATCCAATCCTATGGTGAATCAAACTGACAATCTTGAACCAGTACAATAACCCAAACTCAATCCTTTAGTCCAATGCACTTGAGCAACCTGGTCCAAAGACCGTCCTCTGACATAGGTTGTTCTACCGGTTCTTTAAAATTCGCCTTCTCGCTAAGCTCTTCAAAAGAATTCACAATATTTTGAAGCCTTGCTACAAACTCAATCAAAAGGGAAGTAAATGTTGCAAACGATAGTGCACTCGCACTCTCATATGTCCTTACCTCACGTTCATTGAGAACGGTATCCCCCAAAAGTGAGAGACGTGAAGGCCACATTACCTGTTTGTTGAACATATCCTCTGAGGAACCCCATTGTGGAATGGAGGGGTTGATGCTCATGCTAGGATTCTGTGGATCAAAGTGTCTTAACGTGGACGTTGATCTTAGGTTGAGAGCAAATTCACTAAGTGAGTGTATCACCGTTTGTTTATTTTCATTATCCTTCACTTCAAGATTATTGGGATCTTCAAATTCCTTGGGCCGCTTTGCACCTTCCCAAGTTGCCGAGTTAACAAGAAGGTACGATTTTTCGTCTATCTTCATTTGTAACTCTTCTGCAGCTTCATGCACTTGAAGGAGAATGTCTCCAGCACTTAATTTCTCCATCTTTTCTACTTTGTTTGCAAGCTCTAGCAACGCTTTGGCCCCTTCTGAGCCAACCCTCTGAATCTCATGGCAAAAGACCTGTCTCAGTTCCGGTGGAGCCTACAAGAAAAGAAAATTTGAACCCATCAATACAAAATTCAAACAATAAACTTCTAAAGGCTAAAATGCAGTGTACTTGGTCAGTTGTTGCTAAGAAGAAAAGAGACAAGAAAACAAAATCTGGATCTCTCAAATATTTGGGGTCAGAAAAATGTTGTTGCATGATTCTGTATAAGCATTTAACAAAAAGGATATAGAGGTGCCATTGTTGCACGGTCTTGGATAGAACTCAATCCCAAAAGCTAGTTGTTGAGGTGAGGGTGCCCTCATGCTTATCTACTGCACATTACTTTTGTACACAGGCGATATGGGACTTTGCTTCGCAGTTCTATCACATTTTGGGGGGTTTAGGTAAAGGTTAACAACAAATGCACAACCTACATCATTTGTTAACATACATAGCTTGAATCACACTAAAATATGTAATTCTAAAACAGAAAAGGATGCAATGATTGCTGTTGAGAGAATTTGATAAGTTGCTCTTCTTTGATCAAGCACGTACGAAACTTCAAAACTCATATACACACATGCAGAGAACAAGTCACTGCAACTCAAATTTTGTTCAGAACATAAGATGGTGACGGGGTGTCTTAATTTTAACTAAAGCCAGATTCATTTCCAAAGCATGACAAGTTTATAAACTCAAACAACACTGGCAGAATCTAAGCCACATAGTGTCAAATAAAAAATGTGTGAATTCACGATAAAAATTAATTATATCCAGCAAGTGAATAGCAAAATGTTTGCAGGATTTCTGTCCCCATTAAACTAACATCAAATCCATTAGATGACACAGATCCCTTTTCACTCTTCATTTGACAAAATAATACAGCTAAGTGGGGGAAATAGATCCATGCAGCTAAGCCCAATTGGACAAAGACTTGTTGAGTTAACAAGATTTTATCTTTCCTAAATTCAATTAAGCAAGATGAAGATGAATGGTTGATCACATCCGTGATTAATGAATGTGTGAATGTGTGTCATGAATGTTAAATCAACTTGCAATTTACCCCAAATGAGAGTAAACAGAAGGCTTGACAAGACTTACAGAGTTACCAGAAAATTCAAAAACAAGGATATGCGAGTGTTGGCAAATATGATTGAGGAAACAACACAGTATACCACACAAGAAAACCGATTCATATCGTTGTCTTCTACTGAAACACCGGACATCTAATGCATGGATCTCCTAATTCAGCTGTTGCGTGCTCTCATGCATATTGAAATCTATGGACTTCAAAGTTTTTTGGTAATTAACTGCGCCACTCCATGGCATCTACTAAGCTTGCTCCGTGCACTTACATTACTTAAGCTACCAAATGATCAAGACAAAACAAGACCAAACACATGCTATACATGTTAGTTTTATAACAAAAAATGAAAATGAAGTCTACCACTAAATAATTTGGGGTTATATGCTAGTTTTATCAAAAGAGTAGGGAAGTGCACACAAACCCTAAAAGGTGCATGGTATGCACGTAAAATTCCAGTCACAATAATAGTTCATAACTTCTACCAATTAACAAAATCAAATTGGTTCATAACAAAAAAAACTACAAATGTTTCATAATTAGGCCTCGTTTGGCAAGAGGCTATTTTAGCCAATTAGCCAAAAAGTTACTAAATTAGCCAAAAAGCCAACAACCCATACCAATATGCTAGTTTTATCAAAAGAGTAGGGAAGTGCACACAAACCCTAAAAGGTGCATGGTATGCACGTAAAATTCCAGTCACAATAATAGTTCATAACTTCTACCAATTAACAAAATCAAATTGGTTCATAACAAAAAAAACTACAAATGTTTCATAATTAATACCACTTTGGTTCATAACAAAACACCACAAAGCCTCATAACCAAGGCCACTTTGGTTAATAATCAAACATCACAAACTCTCATAACCAAAAATACCACAAAAGGCCCATAACCATCACAAAGCTTCATATCATAGCCAAGTTCACCACAAATTTGACCACCACAAAACCTCATAAGTAAAATCCAATAAGATTTATAATGAAGACCACAAACCTTCATAACTAAGGCGTATGATACACACATTTTAAGGTGAGTATACCATAGAATTTTCCCTAAATGTAAGGCTCCATTTGCATGAGTGGATTTGAACTGAAGGCATTTGAGGTAAACTTCCATATATATATATAATATAAAGAGAAGCTATTGGAGGTAGATTAATAATTGTAAAGTAGAGGATTGAATAGCGCTAGAAGAGATGCATGTTGTTATTCTTGCACAAGTAAAATCATTCATAAAAGTATTTCAAGCAACTATATTCACCAAGTTATTTCAATTTCATCAAGCTAAAGCTCTCAAATCCATTTTTTGAAATCTAGAATTTAAAATTTGGCCCCCCCCCCCCCCCCTCCACACACACAAAAAAATATATATATTATTAATTTAAATGCTATACTCCTTGAATGGGTGATGTCAAATCCATAAATTTAAAATCCATAATTCGAATTGAACCTAAATGACAATAAGAATAAGAAGCACTAAAATAAAGGCTACAGCCTAGAGGTATCTTCTCTTAAACAATTTTAAGGCAGTGGCATGAGAATACGGTAAGCAATACTGTGTTACAGATTATTCTCTCTCTGGTTAGTGCTACTACTCTATGAAAACTTGAAAAGCCTAGAAAGGGAAATATATTTTTCACCTGTATTTCTGAAAGTACACAACCGTGCATTGCCATGACCATGAATGCACAATGCCTTAATGCACCACTCAATTTGACATATAAACTCCAAGGATAATTGAACATTTTATACCGGCCATGAGGTGGTTCCCAGACAGCAAAACCCAACTGCACATAAAAGAATAAGTAAGAAATTTGCCTTGGTTTCTTAATACAGCATTCTGTGAAATTTAACATCAGGTACAATTAATAAATAAATAAATAAAGTCACACCAGAGAGTCCTCTTGACTTGTTGACTCTACAGCAGTTCTGTACCCACTATACATTGGGTCATCAGAAGCTTGGTAGGTAAGAATTTTTGAAGGAATCCTCTCATATTCAACACATTGTAAGTATCCATTTACACAGCCTGCACAAAAGCTCAGAGGTATAACTAAACATATCATAGCTAGTGCACAAAGAGCACATATATCATAATATGAAATTTTAAGAAAGAAAGAAAAAAAAAAAATTTAACCTTCCAAGGAAGTAGCAACACCCTTAAAATTTTTCACTACCAATTTGTGCAAATCCTCGCCTGACCAAATTGGGTAGATACAGATATTTACAACCAAACAAACGGCAGCCCCAACAGCAATTAACAGTAATCGAGATATCGCTGTTTGGACAAATTTTGAAGTCCCCGACACCAGCACAATACAATAAGTCAACAAAAACACCCGGAATCCATATTCGTATTGCTTCACTGCCGGGTACTGTTTCAAATAGGTAGCACAAAATCCTAAAACTCCCAAAAGGACCCAACAATAAGATACGAAGTAGTGTAGTTATGCAACAGAGAAAAGAATGAATAACATAATAGGATCAGTTTGTACAAATGGTCCCCAAAGTATGCAGTCTGTTACAATTTAATCCTCAATATTTTGATTGTTCCACTTTTGTCCCCAAAGTACGCAATCTATTACACTTTAGTCCTTAGCATCAGCACCATTCAAAATCAGAAACAGGAGGAGTATTTTCAAAATTTACACACAAAAAAATAAAAATAAATAAAAAAATAAAAAATAAAAATGCAACAAAATTAAAAGATTGGTGACAAAGATACAAGAAAATGCATACTTGGTGACTAAGATGAAACAAAATGCATGATTTAGGAACCAAAATGTTACAAAATGCATACTTTCAGATAATGTGTGTATAATCATTTAGATTTTGTTAAGGCTTCATGTAGAATTCTTTAAAAAAATCTCTCTTCCCGTTACTGATTTTAAATGGGGACTAAAGTTTAACGGAATGCATACATTGGGGACTAAAGTAGAATAATTAAAAGATTGAGAACTAAAGTGTAAAACAATATATACTTTGGGGATTAGTGTAATTAACCCTTAAAATTTTTAAGTTCAAATCCATTAGTTGGTATTTGTTGATTTAACAGCTTACACATTACCTGCAAGAAAGATGCTAATCACAATGAAAACTTCTTGGAATTCTCCAGCCAGCTGAGATAGTTCAGCAATGCCCAGAGCAAGCGCTCCAGCTGATAATGTCCCCAAAGCACGGTTAAATCCTTTGTTAAGTGTTGCTCCTAAAGAATCAAATTTAACCACTAAGCTCAACAAAGTACATCAAAATTAATCGCAATCCAAATTAAATCACACAAAATTCACCACACTCTACTTGGAAACTTAGGAAACAAAAGAAAAGAAGAGAAAGATTGTAATTTCTCTCTCCCTCTTATTTGTATAAATAAGAGAGAAAAGAAGGGGAAAAACAAATGATGATTTGATTTCTCTTTTTCATTTTATATTATCAAAATAGCTTTTTATAGGTGTCAAATTTCTTATTTTTCCTACAAAGGGATAGTTTTGGTATTAAAAAAATAATTAATTGGTTTTTTTTCTCTCCCAATTCCTCCATTTTCAGAGAGATTCAACATAAGGGTTACAAAAGAAATTAATTTCATTTCCCTCTGTTTCTCTCGATCTTCACTTATCCAAACAAGTGATATGAATCAACATAAATGCATTTTGTTTTCTTTTCTTCCCAAATCACCCAATCCAAACAGGGTGATTGTAATCAGTTTCAGTCATGTTAAAATTTCAGTAGATTATAAACAAACAAATAGCAAAAAAAAAAAAAAAATTTGAGGAATGGATCTGAAGATTACCTATGCTAAACTCAAAGACCACAACGACAGTGAGGATTGCCCAGATTGAGTATTGACTCATATAACTGAGTGGTTCTTTGAAGAAGATGAGTATGGAGACGAAAGCGAGAGACAAACCCATTTTAGCAGCAAAAATAATTTTCCGAGGATCAGAATGACCCATTTCATAAGCCTTGGTTGCAGTGATTCGAACATTAACACACAAATTGTCCAACTTATCGCGAAGTGATCGAACGTCGCTACGGTCCTCAGATCGGCCAAACCCTAGCTCCAAGTAGTCTTTTCTAGAGAGCAACCTTTCCTTGCTTCTCTCTGCGAAGCTGTGCTTCAGTGATCCGAAATTGGCTGCCATTTCTTCGTCCTTACCTACTTTACTTTTTCAAAGCATCAAAAACAGGAACAATATTGAAGAACAAAATTGCATAAAAACACTTTGTATATGTGTTTTATTTGCTTTTCAAAGCATAAAATACAAGAGCAATCTTAGAGGAAGAAAATTGCATAAAGACACCTATATGTGTGGTGGGTGTGTGTGTGTGTGTGTGAGAGAGAGATAGAGAGAGAGAGAGAAGGAAACATGACTAGCATGATGAAGAAGAGAAGATTGGAGTGCCATTATTAAAGTTTGAAAGCGGTGAATTGAATATGTAATTACAGGTAGAACTGTTGGATCAATAGATGTATCCTACGTGTCGCTGGTTGGCAATTTAAAAAGGGGGATTTGGTGATAGACTAAAACTAAAATTTTGTTCTGTATAAAAGTAAAATTTTACACTGAAAAATTAATAAAATATTAGACTCTATACAAAGTAAAATTTTACTCTGTATAAAAGTAAAATTTTACTTTAAAAAATGAGCAAACTGTGAGATTCTGAAACTAAAAACGAGCAAACTGTGAGATTCTGAAGCTAAAAGTAAAATGTTACTCTGCACAAAAGTAAAAAAGCGAAGGCAGTGTTTGTGGCGGCTAAAGTGTTTGGTAATGACCACCTCTTGACAATAAAATTTTACTGTCATTCTAACACCAGAGTAAAATTTTACTCTAATTCTCTAAAACAAAAAACAGAGTAATAGAACAAGAGTAAAATTTTACTTTCATTATCTGAAAAAAAAAACAGAGCAATAGAACCAGAGTAAAATTTTACTCTGGTTCTGTCAAATGAAATTAGATAAAAAACAATAAAAAAAAACAAAAAAAAAAAAACAAAACAAACAAAACAAAACAAACAAACAAATAAAAACAAAAACAAAACAAATTAATCAACAAATCAACATATCTAATTGAGAAGAAAAACTTCTAAAACTCAATCAACAATCATAAATCTCAATGAAAAGAATACATGTGTTCAACAACACTCATACACACACACACACACACATATATATATATATATATACATATATTCAAAACTCAAATCTGTGTTTAAAAAAATATGTATAACCAAACAACTCTACCAAACATGCCTCAATTTAGAGATGATCTGTTTCTCCTTGTAGACGATCTCCTTCGATTCCGACACCGAAGGACAATTTTCCGGCCCGTAGTTGATTTCGTTCCCGATGTTCTTGATGAGTTCATCGTAGAGATCGGTTTCGGCATTGTTGATCGCCAGAGTTTCGCCTGATAACTGACCGGACTTGGCTAGGAGAGTGATGACGATGACGCCGACGGCGTTGGCGAGGTCTGAAGCTTCCAGATCTAAAGCTTGAAGGAGTTAGAGAAGGGAGAGAGAGAGGAGAAAGACAGAGAAGGTGGAGAGAGAGTGGGTGGAGAATGTGGGAAAATTTAGTTGAGGGGATAATAGTCTGAAAGGAAGAGAGTGGGGAAGAGAGTGGGTATAATAGTCATATAAAATATTTAAATAATAAATTTGTCCTTTATGCAAGACTTTATAATTATGAGGGGGTTTAGAAAGTATAATTTTTTTCTTAGTTCTTTTAACAATGAAAGGAAGGTAAAGGGGATTTATAGCCAAATTTCCCATTAAAAAACCATGCCCCTGGGCAATGTCTCTATTGGTCTCCCTCTTTAAGATTTACTTAAAAAAAATTTAACGGTTCAGATTATTTTATTAAAAAAATTAAAAATTATTATTTTTTATTTTAATAAAGCGATTTGGACAATTGAATTCTCTTGAGGTGAATCTTAACCGTTGTAAAGGAGGACCAAGTAGAGAAAGTAAGGAGATGATCCTTACTCATGCCCCTCCCCTCTCGACCCTAATGGGATAGATTTTGAGTGGTTGAATACAGTAGAATTGAATTTGCAAAAAAATTTGAAAAATCTGATTGGGTTCGAGTCGAGGGCAATGTGGAGGGATAAAAACATTAACTCAAAGCTCAGAGGTAAAAATATTAGCCCAAAGTCCAAGCCCAGCCAAGCAGGACGAATCAAGAGAAAAGTCCAAATCATCGATAGGTCAGTCAGATGGAGAGATAGTGTCACGTGGCCAAAGCCTGAGTAAAATCACCTTTTAGGAGGAGATTTACAGAATGCAGTGATGCCCTTAGATCCATTCATAATCAACGACGATGATTGCAATCGTCAAAGATAGGGGCATAGACCCAACGTACTTAAACGACACAACTATCCAATGAACTTAATTGGATGGATGGAGCAATCGGCAAGTTGGCCACTAACGCCTGATATAATCTAAGCCGTACACAGCAAGATGATCCAACGACAAAGGATCAAAGCAACTTAGCCACTTGCCCGACCAAAGTCTGGTAGTAACCAAAGCCCTTAGATTAAGATGCTAACCAACGGTTGATGCCCAAGACAATAACATTATAAAAGGAAGAGTAAGGAAAATCGAAGCAAGTAACACAAAAGAAAAATGAATCTTTCTTCTTAACTAAATACTATATGGCTAGTCATATTTTTGACTTGATCGTCGGAGAGTCCTTCAGGCCATCCTTGGTCGGGAGTGATCATTGACAAGTTGGTTTCTTTTTGCAGAGTAAAAGAAGCACCACCTTATCTTGCTTTTCCTGTGGAAAAAATTTCTACATTCCATAATTAGCGCAGGAAATACAAAGAAGATGAGTACCCATCCTTCCCTAGAAGAGATACTAAGCGATCATCAAAACGCACCAATCGGGAACATAGCTAGTCTAAACTTCGGCCATGATTTCGATGTGGCACTCGAAGACTCAAGAAAAATAATCCCCCTGCCAGATGATGACAATCAACGAACTCCACTCGTAAATCGGTTGGTGGCACTAGTCGAAGCCTTTAAAAAAGGACTATGCTTGGCCCAAAGTAAACTTGATGCCTGAGTAAAGACATTTGATAATTGTAGGAAGATTGGTCCTCATAGAACCGCCAGCGAAATAGCCAACAGCTACCCTGATTAGACATAGAGAAGATTCCAGGTCACCGTAAGAGAGGACTCCCATGATTACTAGAAGAATGACTTGCGGAGCTAGCTTGATGGACGAACGGGGGGACAATCTTAAACCTGTTTGCAGAAAGCTCTTCATAAAAGAACTAATTTCACCTTTCTCTCAAGAAATAGAATGTGTCAACCCACCGAAGAGGTTTATCCCACCAAAACTCAACCTATAGATGGTAAAGGGGATCCGACTAGCCATATTCAGTATTATACTCAAACTATGACATTATGGAGCAATAATGGTCTAATCATGTGTTGAATGTTCTCTTCGAGCTTAAGTGAAATGGCACTTCGATGGTACTATAAACTAGAAGCCCGATCAATCAATGTCGGGAAGCAATTGCAACAAATGTTCATCTCACGCTTTATCACCAACAATCGACTGCCGAAAGTAGTAGATGTACTCCTCACAATGAAAAAAAAAACGACATGGAAAGCCTACGAGAGTATGCCAGTAGGTATTGGGCGGGCTATAACGAGATTGATAACTGCAACGAACAGTTAGTAGTTACCTCATTCAAGTTAGGATTGCACCCTACAAGTAAGCTCTGACAATCCTTAACAAAAAAGCCACCTACTGACATGGGTAGTTTAATGAGGCGAGTGGAACAACATTACAAGATCGAAGATGACCTATGAAAAGCCGAAGACCTAAAACCTGTTCTGGTCCCGACAAGGATTCTAAGAAAGGACGAGAAGGAGTCTCCTTATATCAAAAGAAAGGAATCAAACGCCATGGCCAAACAACCAAAACCAAGGAAAGAGGCTTTTCGAGCAATCGTCACCACCTTTACTAAGCTAATATATTGTCTGATGGCAAAAATCAGAATGAATCCTACTTCTCTTAGCCTCTAAAGATGATCGAGGATCCATCTCTTCGAAATCATAGGTTACGATGTTTCTACCACAACGATTATGGACATCTTATAGAATATTGCAAGGTATTGAAGCAATTTCTGGAAGAATTGGCACAAAACGGGCACCTACGATCTTATATTGACAACTCCCCTAATCAAAAAGTGAAATGAAAGGACAAAGGTAGTGACGCGCAACTGATGGCCACTATCAACATGATATATTCAGTCCCCCTAAAATAGCAAACAAGCCAAAAGATGAAAGAAGTAAGAAAGTCGACACATCATGGGGAAGTGGTGGCTTTATCAGAAGTCCCCACTAAAAGAATGCGGTGTTCCAAAACAAGGATTACATTCTCCAACGAAGATCTAACTTGGGTTCACCATCCCCACAATGATGCTTTGATGGTAACCTTGCAGATCAAGGAATTCATTGTTAAAACGATATTGATAGACCAAGGAAGTTCTTCGGAAATCATGTATTATGAGTTCTTCAAAAAGTTGGAACTATCCCCTAGAGCCCTACTCTCAGTTGATTCACTACTCTATAGTTTCAATTCTAGCCTAGTTTTTCTCTTAGGGACAATATTTTCTCCAGTAAAAGCCGGAATAACAGTTCAATAAATTGAATTCAAGTGGTAAATGTGCCGTCCCCATATAATGCCATAATGGGAAGGACGCGGCTCCATCAAATGGAGGCCGTCTCATTCTCATTCCACCAGGCCGTGCACTTTCCAAAAGGGGACAACATAAGGGAAATAAGGAGAGATTAGATAAGGACAAAACAGTGCATAGCTGTGTCTACCACGAAGCAAATAATTCAAGAAGTTCAGATACATGAGTTAGAAGAAGAGAAGTCGGCCCCCAACCTAGTGATAAAAGCGTGGAAGAGCTTGAAAAAATACTAATCGACTCCACAGATGAGGAAAGATTCTTTCTCGTAGGAAAGGGTCATGCCTTAGAAGAAAAGAAGCAATTAATCCACTTCCTACTTCATTACAAGGACGTTTTCGCATGGACCCAATATGAAATGGAGGGAATCAACCCAAGGGTGATGTGCCACTGTAGACATCCCATTTTGACCGCTCTTAAGACTTGGGCGCTACTGATGGTTTACTTGGTGATGGAAGTTGTGCAGTGTAAGGTTCGATTTCTTTGGCAAGAGGAGAGTCAAATCCTAACTTCATACCCCTTTTGGACTAAAATGATCTTGATCAAAAGATTTTAGACCTTGAAACCCTCTCTTTCAAAATAATTTTTGAAAAATGATTCTACGATGTTCCGACGCTCGCATTTTGTTGGATGTTGCATTTTTCGGTAAACCGAGCAAGGACAAAGTGGAAATGAATGAAATAGAGGTGAAATATTTGAAAAATATTTCA